TTTCTCTCTCCAGCGACCTTAACAGACAACGGTATGATGACGGGTCGGACCCTCTTGCAGATGGAGATGAAGGAACCTATGTTCGTGGATCGGAACAAGCTTTTTGGAGTTTGGTGATGACGGGTCAATTCTCTTGCAGATGGAGGCATCCGTGGAGTTTGAATGTGTTTTTTTTTTGTTTTTTTGTTTTCCATTGTAGCCTCATGATGAGAACAATAAAGTAAAAACTGTGTGATTAAGGTCTGTGCAGAGGAAAAAGAAATAATAAGAACCACAAAATATTGATTAAAAGGGAAAGTGACAAAGTTTTTTGGAACATCCAAAAAAAAGAAATATGACAAAATTTTAAGGGACGGGGGAGTACTACGTAGTATTACGGAGTACAATTTTTTGATAAGGTGTGCTATATATTTACTTTTTATTTCAAAAATGATGTACTTAATAAAGGATGACACCCCATCCTTGAGGGCTCCCCAACACCGAACGGACGGTACGATGGAAGAATGTAAATTGGACCATAATTACAATATGATAGATATAGAGTCGGGTTCTGTCCCCGATACTTGCAGAGATCCTCTATTGAGTAACCTCTCATCGCAGTTGCCGGGAATCGAACCCGGGACCTAACCTTTGTGGCACTCCCTTGCTACCAGTTGAGCTACGCCCACCGGTAACGATGTACTGCATAAGTATATATATGTCCTTCATGGTTTTGCATAATGATTTTTTGTAATCTGTGTGTGTAAGTCTACTTCCGTTTCAAGTAGAATTCTTCTTTTCTAGATTATGTCTTATTTTAACTTATATTTAGTAAGGCTTGAACGAGTAGGTTTTTACGGATCCGTAACTTCTGCCGTACTTCTTTGGAACCATCTGATAAAAAAATGGACAGTCGGAGATATTGAGGTGCAGATCCCGAGGCATATCTTCTCCCATTTGACGGTCTCATGCGTGCAAAGCAATCTGTCGTGCGGCAGAGGATCCCAATTAATCGGGTTTTTGCTACATACAATTTTAATGTTAGATAAAGCTGCAAGTACCATGCAGTGAACACTTGCTACATCTATACAAGGCCGTTTTTTAGGAGGTTAATTAGGTTCTCCGGAAAAGGGCTGATAAGTCCGTATTTAGACACGCATTTGATGTGTGTTGGGATTGGATTTTGATGGTTTTCCTAGCTTTAAGGTGTTGCAAGTCTCAATTTTAGCTCAAGTTATGTTTACCGGGCGTTGGTTCGAGTTTTGTGTCATTTGAAGTCAAAATCAGGAATTTAGAGTTCGGCACCGGCGCTTGAGGAGCAATCGGGATGATTCGAGATGCATTCGGGAGTGGATTGATAGCTTTGGAGGTCACCGGAAGATTCACGATAAAGATTTGAAGGAAAAAGAGCTCTAGGATTGGCTACGGGGTCAAAAGAAGACGAATAGAGCTTGAAAAACGGTGATCAGGATGACCTTCTGTCAATCGTTCAAGCATATCTCCTTGTCGAAACAACCAAAGAACACGATTCAAAGTCCACATGAAAGCCAACTTCAAGCGCTACAAATCATATGAAGACATCATTCCGAGAATCCGAGAGGAAGAAGGAGAAAACAGACGATGAAGTCAGATGATCTCTGCTGCGATTTCAGAATGATACCTTCTACCGTTTTGATCATATCTCTTGATTGGATGATTCAAATCACATTTTGAAAATTGGGGTGGATAGAGGACTTTATTATCTACAACTTTCATGAAGAAAGTTTGGTCCAATTCAGAAGTTTTACGCACGCCGTGCGTAGGGGAACGCACGACCGTGCGTCTGAGGCAAGAAAGCAAGGAAGATACTGCCAGCAACGCACGGCCGTGCGTTTCGGGACGCACGCCGTGTGTTCCATATTTTTACGCGGTTATGCTCCGGACGCACTGGGGGACGCACGCCGTGCGTTGGCCCCGTGCGTTGGCCCTGGAATCCTAATTTCGCCCGAATTTGTTCCGTTTTTCCTATTTAAACAGACTGAAAACCCCGTTTTCAAGGGGGGAGAGAGAGTGCCTAGCACAAATTTTAGAGGGCTTTTCAGCCTTGTTCATCAATCTTTTGGGATTCTTTGTAAGTTCCACCTTTTTAATTAATGACAATTAATTCTTTTTATTCCAATTCTATTGATTCTTCAATTATGAATTGTGAGTAGTTTTAATTAGGGATTTGGGATTGATGAAGGGGTTAATCATGATGTATGGCTAGATTCTTTTCGGTTTAATTGCATGAATGCCGTTTAATTTGTGTTTGAATAATTTAATTGATATCTCTTCTAACCTAGACTGCAGCTAGAATTACAATTACATGTAGAATAAATTAAGAGAGATCTAATTTGTTCTAGGACACATTCACACACACTTAATCGTTCGCTAAGAGATTAGTAGCGATTAAGGGGCCGTAAGCTCGTTCGTCTTGGCAATAATTTAGGATCCTGTCGCATGAGAGATCAGGCTGGTCCCCTAAATTATTGTACTCTATGTCGCGAGAGCGGTAAGAACTTAGTAATGATTAGCTAGGCTCAATTAAATTAATTTCATGTAATTAGGCCTGATCTGCCAGAAATCTGGTTACCCCGGAATCGATCCTTGTTCCCTTTGTCATTAATTAGAAAGAACCCCCTAGTTTAATTGTTCGCATTAGTTTTATTTTCCAAACCAACCAATCTCGCACGACGCTTTTATTTTATTTTCTTTTTAATCGTTGAATTTAGTTAATCTTTGATTCCCTTTTGTCCCCTGTGGAGACGATACTCGTACTTACACCACTATATTACAATCTTTTTATGTGCGAGAAAACACACATCAAGGGCCTCCGGATTTATGGGGCCACAAATTTTAATAATTTATTCGTATTATATATTAATATATTAATGATAATCAGTAAATACAATTAGTAAGGAAGAAAAACGTAGTTCTATCATTATTTTCATTGGTCCTTTAGTTCTCATTTACTTAAATTGCTTGAATAATGAGGTGTGTTACTTTAAATAAAGAATTAAGTAAGTTTTAGATTAAAAAAATTATTATATTATTAAATAAGTATTCAATTAATTTTAAGTATAAGTATTTGAATTGAGTTTTTTTATTATTTTAAATTAAAGTGGGCCCCAATTTTACATTTGGAACCGGGGCCTCCAAATTCATTAGACGGCCCTGCATTTATATGCAACATAATCAAGATATTGTATGATATTGTATGATTGCATTGGTTGATTATGCTAATTTAAGAAAAAATTCTTTTTAAAATATAGTCCATATTTTATTAGTAAAATAATGATTTTTTTAATGTAAAATAGCTAAAATGGTCATTTACCGTAACTTCTGTCAATACAGCCACAAAAGTTATCTTAACCTTACTTTTTCTTATTATTATTATTACACAAGTCAACGTGAGAAAACAAAATTCCATGTTTAGTAAAAAAGTTGGCTGATAAGCTTGATAAGCCGAAACATAGTGTTATCAAACAACCTCTTATTAAGAAAGTTAAAATAAAATGAAAATGTATGATTGTGATTGAGTAAGAAAAACATAATTGAATGTTAATCATACAACATTTTCTAAAAATGGCAAGTGAGAAAAAATTTTGAGACATCATAAAATGGTAATTAAAAGAATTTTATGGGATGGAGAAAATATATGAAGTACTCCCTTCGTCCCAATAAATTCTTCCAACTTTGAGTTGGCTCGCATATTTAGGCAGTGAAATAAAGTAAAAATGTGTGATTATAGTTGTGTAAGAAAAAATGGAATGAATGTGAGTCACACAAATTATCAAAAAGGTGAAGTTGGAAATATTTTTCGGAAGTCCAAAAACGGATATTTGGAAGAATTTTAAGGGACAGATGGAGTATTAAATTTGTTTTGTATGGTCAAAACAAATTAAAAAGGAAACTAAAAATTTGTTTTTGAAATAGAGAATATAGTAAGATTCGTACTCCATATTATACATAATTATCGAACTAGATCAATGCAGCTCAGTCAAAAATTAAGCAAATCAACTTAGATAAAATCAAATCTTAATGGCCATTAAAGTCCTAATCAAAATGTAAAATTTTAACATCAAATAAAAGTATCATGAGTGCCACATACAACACACCCCATTTTTCAATAGACGTTTTTACCTCAATAGACGTTATTACTCTGCCAGACATTTATTTTAGCATTTATTTTGTTGTGTCTACCTCATGTTACAAATAATATGATTTTTATACCACTCGATCTTATTTCGATTAATACTTTTTAAAGTGTTTATGTGTTCTATAATTTATTACTTTTGAAATCAAAATTTCCCAACAATTTTTTTTCAACAATACATAAATATTGTGTTTCAAAAAGTGAATAATAATTTGATTTTTTTTAAGTTGTGCGATGCACGAGACATAAGTATGATTTTTGTACCACTCCATCTTATTTTGATTAGTACGTTTTTGAATTGGTCATGTGTTCTATATTTTATTAATTTTAAAATCGAACTTTACCAACAATGCATAAATATTGTGTTTCAAAAGGTGAATAATAATTTGATATCTTTTATCCCGTGCATCGCACGGGTGAAATTCTAGTTATGAGAATATGACGTGCAAGGTTAATACTAAAAATTTGACAAATCTTATAATTATTAGATATTTAGATACTACTACGTATCATACTAGCCAGTTCTCATGAAATGTTGATACAAATTCAAAGAAGCATATACTAAATTCGCAAATACTTAAATAATGCAACCGAACCAAGGAAAAATATATCAAAATAGCCAAGATTCAGGAATGAATCTTATTGACGCCTAGTACAATCCAAATGAGATGAACCGCCGAAAATTTTAGGGAGCCTGTTACGTGCTCAATTAATGAGCACGTTGTCATACGTGGAAGCTGGCCCCATGAGAAATTGAGAAATTTAAAAAGAATCCCAAGGTGCGTGGGTCTCTAGTCAAAACAAGAAGTTAGTATATAGGTCAAATTTAGACTCCTTTTTCTATCACGCTCGTCTCGCTCGACTTGCACAAATTATTTCCCATCATGGACGTAAACATGGACGAAGAGGGCATTCTTGCTGGAGGTGAAGCAAATACTTCATCAACGATTTTACATAATAATGAAGGCCAAGGTTAGGATTTTGAGATAATTTATACAGCAATATACCATATATTTGCTCTCATGTTTTCCTGAACATTATCGCTACACTGATTTAGAGAGTGTTGAATTGTTTATAACGTGTGTATATATATATTTCCTGAAATATATATAGAGAGTAATGATCCGGTCAGGAGCTCCTGACCGGAACCGCCGTCCGGACCAAGGCGTTTGGCCGCCTTCCCGGTGGCTTTTTTTGATGAAATTTTTATGACATGTTCTCCATCAAGTCTAGTTTATCCACAAAAAACTTCAGCCAAAAACTCAATCGGGAAGATCGTCAAATGATTTTTGCAAGTTAACTGGTCCGGAATATGTATTTTCCGGACCAGTTAACTTGCAAAAATCATTTGACGATCTTCCCGATTGAGTTTTTGGCTGAAGTTTTTTGTGGATAAACTAGACTTGATGGAGAACATGTCATAAAAATTTCATCAAAAAAAGCCACCGGGAAGGCGGCCAAACGCCTTGGTCCGGACGGCGGTTCCGGTCAGGAGCTCTTGACCTGAACATTTGTCTATATATGTATGTATGTATGTATGTATGTATGTATGTATGTATGTATGTATGTATGTATGTATGTATGTATGTATGTATGTATGTATGTATGTATGTATGTATGTATGTATGTATGTATGTATGTATGTATGTATGTATGTATGTATGTATGTATGTATGTATGTATGTATGTATGTATGTATGTATGTATGGCAAGCTAGCATACACGGCAGAACCATTCATTATGGCAAATCAAGCAAAACAAGTGTTTTACGTGACTGATCCATCTGATAAGAGGTGGTCAGTGGTTCTCCAAGGAAAGCATTTGTCAGTCAATGATGAAAATAATGATCTTTCTACCGACATACATGAGATCCCTTTATCTACTGTAATTCCCAATTGTTTTAATGACAATGAAATAGATAATGTACACGCAACCCGTGATGACCATAGAGAAGGGTTATGGGAGAATATTCCTGAGCATGTTAGTACATTATATACATTTATTTGTTTGTTTAATAGTTTATATATTATATTTGTGCTAACTATATTTTTTTTTGTAAATAGGTTCATGGAGGATCAAGAGCAGAATGAGTCAAACAACAATTCTCAAAAGAAAAATGTCAGAAAGCCCACTACTTTGAAGGCTTTGCTTCGTAATCGTGCATGTAATTAAATTTGCACTTGTCTTTATAATACATTCTAACTACTTTATCTCATTACTAACTCACGCATATTTGTTTAATTGCAGCTAATCAAAAATTTCCTATCCAATTTAATAATAGACTGAGACCAAAAGGCCCAAATAAGAATGCATTTATCAGTTTTGTGGCCCTTGAAGGAAGGCAGAGAGCGAGTATACTTATACCTCAATGGGAAGATGTTGAAGAGGGAGTTAAAAATCAAATTTGGGAGGCTATCCGGGTTGTTATTTTTTTCATAATAACTTTGATTTACACTGATTAATAAAAATATAGTTGGGATTCTGCCTAGCTATATTTAGGCTTCTACACAAGTATATTTAGGCTTCTGCTCTAATATCTATGTAGCTCACCTTTGAAGTCCCCAACACTCCATCAATGAGAAGAAAATGGATTTCATATGCGGGTAGCCGCTGGACAGGGTTTAAGACCTATTTGACATCAAAGTTCATATTTGGCGCTCAAGCTGGCAAGGATCCGACAGAAAAATATCCATATATAGAACCTGAGACTTGGAAACAGTTTGTCCAGAGCCGTCAAGACCCTAATTTCCTTGTGAGTGATTTCTTTAAATCATTTATCCTAATGTTTAATGATTTTTTTATTTCTTATGTTTTCTAGTGTGGTTTATAATAGGAACGCAGGAAAAAAGCGCAAGAGATTCAAGCACAAAATGATTGTCCCCATATATTGTCTCGGGGTGGATATGAGTTATTAGAGGAAAAATTGATGAAAGAAAAACTGCAAATGCGTGAAGAAGCCTTACAGTCTGATCCATCATTGGTATTAGATCCTCCCTCACCTATTTCGCGCCATGTGAAATGGAAGAGAGGTCGAATTCGACGAACAGGTCAATATACCTCAAAGAGGACTCGTGAGGTTGCAGAGAAAATTGTAAGTTTTAAAAAATGGTAATAATAATAATGTTGGACAACATATAAAATACTTTTTATATACCCTTTAAAATTTCCATTGAATGTGATTTACAGAATTCCCTGGAGAAGGAGACAAAAGAAGGAAAATTCATTCCTAATGGACGTGATGATATCTTGACAGCGGCTACTGGACGCACTGAGCATCCTGGCCGTGTCCGTACTGCCGGAGCTGGTGTCGGTATTGTCGAGTACTTTGGATCACGTGCATGTCAAGGTCGCTTATCCTCGGGTATGACCATTGAAGATGTTGATAAGATGAAAAGGGAAATGAAAGAGGAGGTCACTGAAGAGGTTACAGAAAAGGTGACACAAAAGGTGACTGTACAGTTGAGACAAGAATTCGCCCAACAACTTCGTGATGAGCTTAAAAGGATGGGGCTAACCCAACAAGGACCAAACAAAGGGGCACATCAAACTCCATCTCCTGCTAATGTGAGTACAAGGGGGAGCAACGCTCCAGGAGATGTTTCTGGGTCAGAAGATGATAATGAAGACGAGCTTTGTCGGCTTTACGTTGATACTCCCTTCCATTTGGTGGCTATGGGAAAGGTATATCAACTATAAATTGTTTTTTTTCTATTTCTGCAAGTAGTTAAACTGCAAGTTAAGAAGTAAAAAACTTCAGTGACTGCAAGTTGAAGTAAAAACTGCAAGTCTTCAAGTATTTAAAATATGAATTTAAAGTTTAAAGGACTTTAAACTGCAAGACTGCAAGTTGAAAATTGTTTGTAAACTGAAGTTATAAGAGTACTTTATAACTATATAAACTAGTTCATTTTAACATAAACTAACACAAATTGAAGTATGAAATATACTGAAGTTTTTTAACAGTTGCCTTCATTCACTCTTTTGTTTAAAGAATAAACTATAGTAAAAAAAGAATTGGATATGTTTGGGTGTGTTCTCTTGGGATAAATATGTGACTTATCTATAATGATGTTGTTTCTTTATAATTTTGTTGTTTCTTTATAAGGTTTCTTTATGACACGTGAAATATGAAATTTGTATTAGGTACATAATTTGGGTCCTACAATACACCACCAGATTATTGCTACAAATATTGTTAGAGTGGAAGTTGTTAAAGTTTTAGATGGAGCTGCAATGGTTCCGATTCCTAGTGAGGAGGTTATGACGGTTGGACAGGCCCCCAATCAATTCATTCAATGGCCACGAAGATTGGTGAATCCTGAAAATGAGGAGGTTAGTTGTACTCTGTCATGATGGACACATGGTATAAGGCTGAAAAGTTACCATTGATCTAGAAACTAATTTTTTTTTTCCTAAAGTATGTTGCAAAAATGCTTAATTAAGTTGTAGTGTAGGATAGTATATATCTCAATGTTTTAATCTTGTAGAATGATGATGTTGAGGACCGGGATTTTGCTAAAGATAATCACAAGGATTCAATATCGCGTTTGTTGGCTATGACTAAACACCTTGGACTGCAGCCTATAGAGTTGATCCTAAAAGGAGACATCATTGGTCGAGCCGATATATCTCTTTATCTAGGTTCTGAAGAGATATTGGAGATATGTTTGGGAAATCAATTGCTTAGTGCAGTGATTCTACAAGTATGGATCATGTAAGTTGAATTTGTTTGTCTTTTCTTGTTTTAGTGCAGTGATATGCATGTCCATTTCAAAAGCGTGCCATAGATTTTTTCTTAAATCCCTGGGCTTTTTCTTGTTAATATGCTTTATATTTTTTTTTATCTTTGTATGAGGATAATCCTCATATAAGTGTTTTGCTTGTCTCTGTTTTATGCTTTAACGCGTCTCTGGCCTTATTTAGCACGTCTGATAAATATAGGCATGTTTAGATAAACCAACATGTATCTATGTTATGCTTTAACATATATGATAAGTGTGGCCTTGTTAACAGAGACATGTTAATATGCTTTATTAATCTTTATTCATCAAGGTTGACTAGTGATCTTCTCGATACCAAATTTGTGATAAAAAGATTTTGATTTTGTAATGACATTTCAGTTCGTGTACTTCTATTGTGTTTCAAGTTATATGTTCTATTTTTTTCCTATCATACAACTGATTTGCATATGCTGGTGATTTTAAATTTGGTCAACAAAGGGGTCTTTAGGATGATTAACATGTAATTGTTTTTCAGTTTTTTTAATTGTTTAGAATCTTTAATTGAAGTGTGAGTGGAGGTGAAATTTAGGTAGATGTGTGTCAAGAGAAGGCCATGCTGGGCATTTAGTGTTGGGAGTTGTTCAGTTAGGAATTTGGGATGGTGGGCAATTAGTAGTGCTTTTTTCATCATCCTCATTACATAAATGCAGTCAATGTATAAATAGTAGTACAAGTTCAATATACTACGTAGTTGTGTTCATGCATGAAAAAAAGAAGGTAAGTGAGGGATGCTCCTGGTGCATATTTGCTTGACAGTTTGTAATATACACATTAATTATGCTTTAACTACAGGTATTTGCATAGAGTGTGTGTTCAAAAGAACACCACACATCAGTATGGTTTTTTTGACCCGCATAGCATTCAAGATGTGGGTAACAAGAGTGGTGATGTGCAGACATATATATTAGCTAACCTTGGTGGAAATAAAGAGTGTTACTTGTTGCCATATTACTATCCGTAAGTACAAGCACATGTTTTTGATTGATAATCATTTGTTGATTTCATTTTGTGAATGTGTATTGCTTGTGTATTGGTTGAGTAACTTGTTGTGTACTATTTTCATTTCAGAAACCATTGGCAGCTATTTGTGTTGTGTCCGAGGCAGAATGTAATTGTCTTTTTGTGCTCATTGGGGAATAAGCCGAAGAAGAACATGAGAAGTCTTTTGGATATGTGAGATACCATTTTAGTAGTATTAAATAGATTATTGTCATTAAAACTATGAAAGCTACATGATTAATGTTTGTATACACTTTTATTTCATTATTAGGGCCATGCAAGCACATCAAATGACCAAAAATAAAAGGAATTCCAAACCGAAATGGGTCCAACCAATGGTAATATTCACCACTTGTAATGAACAATTATAATTGAATTACTTTTACATGTGGTTTTTAAGTTTAATCACTATTTGTATTGCAGTTTTTTTTTACAACGTATAATTTTTTTTGCAGTCTCGAATGCAAAGGGGATGTTATGAATGTGGATATTATGTTATGAAACATATGGCTACTATTGTTTCTGCGGGTATTATTGATTCATGGCTAAAGGTGATAAGACTTACTTATTTTTTATTATTTTTGACATAATGCTTTCAACATTTTTATATTACTGTTTTTTTACGTGTAAATTTTTTTTTGTAGTCTCGAATGCAAAAGGATGTTATGAATGTGGATATTATGTTATGAAACATATGTTATTTCCTTTATTTCAATGGTTTACTTTAATCATTATGTAATTTTTAGGCATTCAACGTCCAAGATGCATTCACGGATGAAGAAATTAACGAGACACGAGAGCAATGGGCAGCGTTTTTCTGTGAATGTACGGGCATTTGAGCAATGGGCAGTGCTTTCTGTGAACAAGGCGTTTGAGCAATGGGTTTATTTTAGTATGATGTAAACTCCAACATAATTTTTGTCATAGTTTTGAAAACATTTGATTGTATGTGTAAACTGTTAAGCTCAAGAGCATTTTTTGTTTGAAACACAAGTTATTTGTGAGGATATATTATTATTAATTTTTGTTCGAATGTCTTTGTTGGTTGGTCGATTTGTTATTGGTGCAATGGTGCTGATTTGAAATTATAGAATGGACAGATAATTTTTATTTTGTTGTATAGAAAACAACATGAATTTTGTGAAATGCAAAACTATATGTAATAAGGGTTCATGTTAACACATATTGAATGTATTAGATAACGGTTATTATTACCTGACATTAAAGAGTTTTGGTAACGGATAACTGTAGCCGTTATTGAAAACTTTCGGTAACGGTTCCGTTTTGTTCGACATTACATACTTTCGGTAACGGTTCTGAACACCCGTTATTAAAAACTTTCGGTAACGGGCGGTTAACCCATACGAAAAGTATTACACATTTAATAACACCTGCATTAATGTCGGTTCGGAACCGACATTAAATGTCCATTTTAACCGACATTAAATGTGTATTTTCCACTAGTGTATGTATGTATGTATGTATGTATGTTATACATTCATGATTCATACGTGTGTATATACATATTATATTATATACACACACTTTAATCTCATACATACATAGTACTTAATAATGATGATAATATCTTTTAGCAGAAATATTAAGGTTAGAAGATAGATGCCTACTGTATGTACAACTGTACAAGCATCAAAGAAACACACATGAATTCCACCTACATTATTATACTTTTAATTATATGAGCCAGGAAACATATTACATATATGCATAGACACTTAGATATCCGTTGGACAAAACATATATATATCCGTTGGACAAAACATATATACGTAACATATGATTATATATATATATAAGTTCATTATTCAAAAGAGATTCCCTATATAATTCAATCAATAAAAAACACTATTAAACTTATATAGATACACGTATGTGTGTATATAATGTTGTATTTTAATTTTAGCTTATTAATGTTAATATCTTTTTTTCTTTTTGTTATTTTAAAATTCATATGTATACGTGCAGATCTTCTCTTTGATGTGACACCTAAAATTGGTCAGCGGTTTCGTTCACTAGATGATGCTAAAGCCTTCTATAATGCGTACGCAAAGTTGTTGGGATTTGGTACTAAAATAAAAAAAAAACTCAACTACTAACAAAGCTGGAGTTATAAGAAAAACAAAGTTGTTGGCATTTGCATGTTCTAAGGAAGAGAGGACAAATGTGTCTTCACATAAGAAAAACAAAACTACAATTGAAAGAAATCGAGGCCAAACTAGGTGTGGATGTCTTGCTAGAATGCATGTTTCCATGAATCATAAAGAAGGTGTGTGGATTGTGTCACTATTTGAGAAGACCCATAATCATGACCTTGTTAGTCCTAGCAAGACACATTTGATTCGTTCTCATCGAGAAGTGTCTTCTTCAAAAAGAGCATTGATTGATGAATGGGGTGATGCTAATATTGAGACACATACACAAATTAGGTTGTTGGAAAATGAAGCCGGAGGTCTTTCTTCTATGGGGTGCACGGAGAACGATGTATACAATTATAGTGCATCATTGAAAGCCAAATTCAATAGGATTGATGTGATAACAATGATTCACGGATTTGAAACAGAAAAACAAAGGAATGGTGACTTCTTTTACAAATTTGACATAGATAGCGAAAAGATTCTGACGAGATGCTTTTGGGCTGATAGTGATAGTAGAAATGCATATTTGTTTTTTGGTGAAGTAGTTGTATTTGACACTACATTCAATACTAACAAATACGGCTTTTACCTTGCTCCAATTGTTGGTGTTAATCATCACCGTCAAACTATTGTTTTTGGTTGCGGTTTGCTAAGGGACCAATCAGCAGAATCATTTCGTTGGCTTCTTTCCACATTTTTAGAAGCTATGGATCACCAACCTCATCCTAAAGTTGTCATAACTGATCAAGATGCAGCTATAGCTCGAGCTGTCGGTGATGTTTTGCCATATGCATCACACCACCATTGCGTGTGGCATATACTTAAGAAATTCCCTGAAAAGATGAATGTGTGCAGCTCATAGTATACACAACTGCACAAAGAATTGGTTGACATTATAATGGATTCAGAGACGACTAGTGACTTTGAGCAGCGGTGGAGTGAAAAACTTTTGTTACCTGAGTTGAGTGAGAACACATGGCTTGCTGATATATATGAAGTTCGAAAGAAATGGGTTCCATCTTTTGTCAAGCATATTTTCTGTGCTGGAATGTTGAGTAGTCAACATGTTGAAGGCACACATGCATTTTTCAAAAAATATGTGAACAAGAAATGCACTGTGAGTCAATGTGTAACACGTATTACTCGAGCTATTGTGTGTCAAAGACATCGTGAACTTATTGCTGATCATCGAGATCGAAACGAAGTTCCACGGTTAAATTCAAGCTATCTTATGGAAAGCCAAATGGCGAAGATATACACAAAGGCAATTTTTTGTACGTTTCAAAAAGAGTTGGATGCTTGTGCTTTATACACCTGCCACCAAATTTCCAGCTCAACAAATGCTAAGGTGTATGATGTGAAACGGTGTGAAATTGATTCAACTTCTACATCTACAAAGAGGCTGCTTACTTATGATATGTCATCGGATTTTGTTTCATGTAGCTGTCAAAAATTCAAGTTTATGGGGATTCCTTGCCGACACATTCTGATATGGATGAGGCTCGAACAAGTGTTGTTATTGACAGATCACTATATTCTGCATCGTTGGACAAAGAATGTGAAGGTGAACCCTCTTTATCGACCCACCAGTGAATCATTTACTAGGGAAAAATTGTGGGCGAGGCGAGTAAAGTTAAGGTTGTGTTGGTCCCGTTTAAGTTGGTAACAGTCTAGACGGGGGGGTGAATAGACTGTTATAACTTTTTCAACTTTTCTCTAAGTCAGAGTTGACTTATCAGAGAGGGTCGAGTTATGATGATCAGAACTGGTCTTGCAGCGGATAAGAGTTCCGGGTAGCCTCAAAAATACTAAGGCAAATGCCTTTCTGATAACTCTAGAAACGAGATCTGCTGGACACAGATTCCAGGTCTCAGAGTTAGACAGTTAATATCCTAATTGCAGAAAGTAAATGACACCGGGGTTTTTATAGTGGTTCAAGGAACAACACGTTCCTCTAGTCCACTGTTCCACTAAGCTTGTAAAAGTCACAAATTACACAGCCTTAGTTCCCTAGCACTTAAGAAGCTCTCCACGTCTTCTTCAAGCCTAGTTGCCACCCAGGATGCAGTTCCACGTCCTGATGGCTGGTCCTTTCACTCAGCTTCCCGGAAGTATCACCACTTCACTACTGCAGTTACTTGGACGCCCTTCTTTGCAGAAGATGTTCTGAAAAACAGGGTTTTCTCCAACTTGCTTCGTTACAAAAGATATGTAGTTGAAGTTCTTGAAGATTGAAGAACTGTTGGAACTTTGCTCTTTGTTGGGGTTGAAGTATTGAGTAGTTTAATCTTCCCAACGTAAGCTTTGTCTTGTAGAATGAATATGAAGCTTGAATCTCAAGAGTTTAGCAGAGGATTATGGCAAAGTTGTCCGGATGTTCTTCATCGAGTATCTTTTATACTGGGAATTGTCTACCCGTTGGAGGAGGAGACAACTGCATTAAATGCGCGTACTGTGGAGTTGACCCACCAATTTGGAAGGTTTCTATTTTTATAATATATCCTCTAGATTCTTCGGTCAATCATTTGCAATCACTCCACAGCGTATCAAGCTCATTTATTGTGCATTAAAAGCTTTCCTTTCATGCACAGTCTTCTAGCCGTTAGGGGATTCCCTGTTAGTTTCACAGCCGTTGAAGGTAGCCTTGAAGTTCTTCTAAGTGTTAGTCGGGCTCTGATCGGGCTCTTCTGATATGTTGGATTCTGATGGCTCTCTGATGTTTGACTGAACTCCAGCTCTGGTACCAACTCTGATAGGTCCGCTGATGAGTACTTCTGATTTGCAACTCTCATAGGCTATCAGATGATCAGTTCAACTAACAACTCTCATAGTGCAACTCTGAAGGCACTTCTGATGTACTAATTCTGATGGAGCAGTTCTCATAGAGCCTTTCTCATAGAGCAGTTATTATGGCAGTTCTGATCTGATCCAAGTAGAGCAACTCCGACCGTCGACTACACTAATACTTACAACTGAAAATTCTAATACATAAAATCTAAAAAAGGGGTACTCTAAAATTCTAATCTAATTATCCTAGCATCATCAAAATCTAATTACATTTATTCCTTACAGGTTGTCTGCATTCGAGGTTGTCGATTCAGCATCTCTAACTGAAGAAAGAAGTGCCTACTTTTCCGGAGTTCTGAAGAATGCTATGGAACACCTAACACTAATGGATGATGGAGCAGTTGGTATAGGACAACAGTCTGTATTGTCCACCGAGTTGCCAAATGTTATTATGAAAGATCCAAAAACGACAAAAATAAAAGGTTCAGGGTCACGCATTAAGCATCCATCCGAAAAGGTTAAACGTTGTGGAAAATGTAAGAAGGCTGGCCACAATGCTAGATCATATCAAGTTTCACGGACAGAGGGGTGAAAATCATTTTTATTGAACACTGCACTTTATGAGTAATTCATTTTTCACTTTTTAGTTTAACCAAGTAATATTGGAGTGGTAACTTGTGTACTTTTATTCACAGGTCCCAAAGTTTTAGGAAGGAACTCGATCTCAACCTACCTGGTTCGGATGCTGAAGCCTAATGAAGAGCTATTTATGTATTACACCTGCTTGAAGTTACTGCTTGCTAAGTACCAGAGTACTTTATTCAGGAGTATTACTTGAATGAGACCATAATTTGTTTTTTAGCAGGACCCAAACCTCTTGGACAGCTTAGTATACTCTATTGTATTCAAGAGGCAGTGTTATTTTATACTCCCTAGTTAATAGACACATATTTAAGTTGGCGTATTATCTCACATTTCCATTTCTTTTCACTCATTGGTATACATTGAAGTTATAATAATATTTTTTTTACATTTGTGATGTGTAATTACAATGAATATATCCTTT